TCGTGATGATCTTTATACATTGACATGGCGATATAAAACGTAATTTTTGAGTTATTTTCGCGTTTGCCAAAAAAAATGTTTCTGAATTTATGTTACATTAATTAATAATGAGGAACGAATGTGAGACCTTATATTCTCATAATATTAGTATATATATATATATATATATATATATATATATATATATATATTTACATTACTTTAATAATTTGTGACTGGAATTAGTATAAAGCTCCTTACGATTTTCGGTTCCATGATTGTAGATACACTCCATTTTAAAGTGTCCCATCATAAATATATTCTAGCTAGATCTGCCGATATACATTTGAATATTCACTACTAAAGGTGCAAATATTTCTAAAATATATAATATATTATATAATAAACAGTATTTGACTATATTGTGCCATATACAATGCACGCTTAATTTTGTTATATTGCTAACATTTATTAATAAATTATTTAATTAAATATTAGTTCAAATATATATTTTAAATAATAAACAATTCAAATTTAACATAATATAAAATTTACATATTTTTAATGATATCATTAATAAAATAAAATTATTATTATTATATAACAGTGATATGATAAAATATATTGAAGCATTAACGAAATTCATAGAAACAGATCGAGTTAAATTGTTTATTTTGTTAATTATGAAAAATCTCTTATTTCTTATCTCCAAAAGTAAACTTTTTTATAATAACAATAATGGTATAGCTTTCACGTTATATAGTGTCGAGAAATAATTTTATACTTATTTTTAATAATACATATAATTAATTACATTTTTATTAATTAATTATTAATGCAAATAAATATTAACAATATAACTTATTGATGTACCATCCAGTAAAATGGTCCATACACATAATAAATTATTATTATGTATAGGGCTTAATATAACTGTTAAACAGTATCACACACTATAGTACATCGAATACTTTATCCGCTAATTTATTTTATATCTTGGTGTCTTTACGTAGTTCAGGCGCCAAGTTTAAATAAATTTATTTAGTAAATAGTTGTATGGTAAATATAATTTTCAAATCCAAGAAAATATCAATTCCTATATAAAAGTATAATTTTTATGTACGAAAAATAATAATTCGGTATCATTCTAGTAAATTCACTTCGATATAAATTACTATATAGGTATATGGCCCAGTGGTAAGGCGCTCGTTTAGGAAACCCAGTGAAGCGGGTTCGAATCCCGCTCACACTTATGATATTTTCTTGTGCGAATCATTTCTAACGTGATTACCACTTGACTTACGGTGAAAGAAAACATCGTGAGGAAACCTGCACGTCTGAGAGAACCTAGCAAGTTTTCGAAAGACATGTGAATTTCACCAACCCGCACTTGGGCAGCGTGGTGGACTATGGCCTGATTCCTCTCGTTTGAAGGGAAGCCCGTGCCCAGCAGTGGGACGTTAAAAAGAACTGAGTACACTATCATAAATTAATACCTTTATTATAATTAAAGCATCATCCACTTCAGATTTCCATATAGAAGCTATAATATTGTTGAAATATCAACCGTTATGCTTTACCAACAAAATTTCTATAAGATTTCTTATTTGAAAACATAATATTAAATTATTTAGTAAGTACATACTATTTAGTGATTTTTTGTTTAAATTAGAAAGAGAATGATACGAATTATTATTTTCTCCATTGAATATGTTATTTTGATATCATTGCATTATCTCAGGTATACAAGGTAATGAAGATAATTAGGTGTCTAAAGGACGAAATATAAAATTTATGAATTTATCTATTTAAATAAATATATTATATGTATATTTCTTTAATATTATATACAAAATACTCGGCGAGTGAACTACTATCATTTGTTAGACATAATTTAAATAAAATCAACGCACATACGCCATAACACTTTATACATCAGTTAACAATCATTATTGTCAGTTATATATCTAGTTATGTCTTTATATTTAAATATAAATTCGCACTAGTAGTAGGCAGTTTTAAAACAATTATGTTTATATTATATATTTACTATTAAGTACGAATACGACAAGGTGCGGCTTTTTAAATATTATTTTCAGTAAAAGCTTTTGAATAAATAAAATTGAATTTCGGTAATAATATTTCATAATTTTGAGATTTACTTGTTGTTTTTAAGATGTAAAACCGCACCTGGCGTCGTTCAGACGTTGGCGTTAAGACGGATATACTAGCACATTCAGTATTAAAACACTACGGATTTACAAACAACGCTTACATTACACGATTACTTATAAGAGCTACGAATCCGTTGCACTACTATCTAGGGAGCTCATACACTCGTTGCAAAACGCAGTCGAAATTACCGAATAAATGACGATATCAAACGTGCAAACCGAGCTGTCACTGAACGCGACTTGGGATAGTTCGTATAAAAAGTATTGCAGAATAGTTTATTGCTTTATTAGGAGCGTAACTGCGCGGGACTGAGAACGAGTTCACCGTCGGGTGCGCCCGCGAATGATACGTTGCGGGGAGGCGGTCGCTTGCCCGCTGCACTCGCGAGACCCCCCGCAAGACCCCCCGCAAGTCCCCCCGCGAGACCACCCGGACCTGGAACTGCTCCCGAGGTCGCTGCACCCCCCGAACCTCCAGCAGTCCCCGGGACCACCGCACTCCCACTCCCCGTGCCTCCACTTGCGCCTGCTCCTGCTGCCGTCGATTGCAACGACGGTGACGGCTTTGGTTGTGATCCCGCCTGAAAATTAAGTAAATTAAGAAGTCAATATTTTCTGACATAATAAATTCATCATTTAACGTCACAGGCCTAGGCTAGGCCTCCGTACAATTCGAGGGGATCAGGTCACAGTTTGTGGGCTCAGGCCAAGTGGGGTTCTCATGATTGAGAAAACCTAATGATTTTATTGATTAAAATGAAAATGATTCGCCATGGAAATATCAGAAGCGCGAGACTTCTAACTCGCATCACTTACTTTTTCAAGCAAGCGGTTTATCACTTTGCTACCACTGCCCTCGTATCACATGCAGCGAATTTCCTGTCTGTAGTTGTCTTACTAAAGATAGAAATTTGACATAATAACTGCGTAAAAGTTATGTCAAATTCTTACCGCCAGTAGGGTAATCTTAATAAGATTATTGAGATCTATTCTCGATCAAAAATCTGAACTCACCGGTTGAACAAGTACAGTCTGCGGCTGTAACGTCGAGTTGGCCGTGCGGTATCTGCGCAAGCGTTCGTCCTCCTCCCCACTGGATAAGCTGGATACGTCGCAGGAGGAGGCGTCGAGACGCCGAGCGGGTGAACACTGTGCGGGCCCCGCTCGACCGCTCGTACACCTCGCGAGCGGCATCTCTTCCCCTTCCACGCAACCGGACAGTCTGTTTTGTACGTTAAAGTCAGTTTGAACATTAACATGTTACATGCCGTGTTACTCCATAAGTTAGTTATGGGGTAATAATATATCACATATTACTCCATTTACACTAATACATATTATAAAGAGTTAAAATTCGTAAATTTGAAAGCTACTGATTTAATTTTGAAAATACTTTCACTAATAGTACCGCCGAGTATTATAGGCTATATTTTACTTTGATAAAAATGTGTATATTGTGGGAAATTATAATAACTTTAATTGAAGTTGGATAGAAAATGGTAATGAAATGACTAGTAAAAGACAGAACAAAAGCGAAGAGAGTTATTTACCTTTTTACGAGTATGTCATTAGATGTCAGGAACAAAAAATTAATTAAAAAAGTGATATTCATATTAATATTTTTGAAATAGAGCAGATTTAGCAGTTAGAAGTAGAGAGGTAAAAACTAATAATTTTTATTGGTTCCACTGATATTTTTGAGGGATTTTAGAAAAGCTAGAACAAATATTTGTCATAAAGCAAAGTTGTCACTTAGGTTTGTTTTTGCCACAATTTTGTCATACAATAAAAAAAATACCTTCTGTTCTCCTTGTGGTTGGCTCGCCGTCTGCAACAAGGCTTGGCGAATATACAGAACATAATACGTAGCAAACAACATGCCAGCCCCGCCACGATGAGTGACGGACCGACCAGCCGTAGCGCTGGTGTTTTGAAACCCTGAAATGAGAAAAATGTATGTATTTTTACCCTTATTCTCAATTTAATATATTTAGCCCCTTTATCTTCTAAAAATCTTATTCACTTTCTATATGTATAATCTGTATCGCCTTTCAAGTACCTATAGTGTAGTAAATTATAATTTTTTTATTTATAATAATACAAATTATACTTCTGAGATTTCATGATTAATTTGATTGATTAATCACGATTTTCATGAAAAAGTACAGTGTACTAACTCCATAGATGCTTTTTACAGCATCTAATTATTATAAGTTAATTACTTTTATTAATTACTTTGTCATCAATGCTAATACTGAGTTAATAACCATCGCTGCACCGTCCCTAGATACCGTTCGCATGTATAATATTACGGAAGTTCTAATGAAACATTTTTTCGGCTTAATTCCTAAATATCATCATACCGGTAGCTTATTTTTGAAATATATACAATTTTGAGATTAGCATACAAATATGTCCCGAAATCCGTCTTAACCATTTAAGTATGAAAGAGCAACATCTTCATACTTGAATGTCCGTGGATTTCGATGTATATTAAACAGATAGACTATATTGGAATTACACATAGGCAGTGCCGGATTCAATCTTAGCACCGCCTCTGGGCATAGTAAAAAATGCCGCTCTATTATGGAAATTTTGAATAAATTGTTAAAAGTTTAAATTTTTGTTTATTTATTAATTTTTTGAAAAATGCAAAGAAATCATTTATAAATGATATCAATTTTTCGAAAAATGTACCTACTAGTTAATCGTTTTTAATTTTAATTTTTTTTTAACACAAGCATTTTTGTTAACGCGAAGAAAAATTTTTTTCCCACCCTCCGAATTTTGCTGTCCTTAAAAATTTACCGCCTGGACACTACTACTTCTACTAGATGAACACAGCTAGTTTAAAATATTTAGTGACAATACCTTGTCTCCGGTACCCACGAAGTAGACGACGAGGCCCACCGCGAGCGTTGTGAGTCCCGCGTACAGGAGCCTTGCGACCCCCCAAGGCTCCCCACTCGCTCCCTCCGCCTCCCCCTCCGAATCCGACGATGAGCCGTACGACGCATCGCGAACCTGATAAATTATATATAATTGAATAATATAATTTGGATAAGATCGCTTTTATACGGTTGACTAAATATATGTATACCTAAATATATATAGCCGGCTGCAGTGCATTTGTTTTTTTATGTATATTTCACATATGTAGGTCTTGTGTGGTGTGTAGTAAAGTGTCTATTTGTCTAAATTTAATATTTAATGTAAAAATGTTAAATAGGTATAATTTAAGACAATCTGCCTAATATTATGTTTTATCAAAAATTTTATTTCATTTTGTCAATTTATTTTCGCTTAAAAAGAACTCTGAAAATATATTATATTCTATTTAAAGGATAAATGAAGAGGATAAGTTTTATAATTGGTACGATTTCTGTGTACCGCTTATCACTTTTATTTTCTCTAGTTAATCTTTACGTATTTAGTACTATTATATTTACATATTATACTATGTACAATTTACATAATATGCCTAATATAAGAATTCTTATATTTTAGTTGATTTTTAACGATATTTTTGTTACTTTTTAGCCGTTGTTGTTAGTTAAGCCGTCATTAATAGTTCAATTCGGTTTAGTTCACATGTAAATGGTTATTTTTAATCCATAATATTAGGGCCTACGCATTCGATGACTTTTAACTCGCTATCAACTTCAACGTATAAATACGAGCGCTTTTTAAATCTTTCAAACGCTCCTTTCAATTTTATCAGCGCCGAATACGCGCAAGCAATACGCATTCATGATACGCGCGCCTGCACGAAGAAAAAGTAGATGTATATGGTTTTCTTAAATATATTAATGTAAAACCAGTATAGTATACCTGGTTGGTGACGTGGTTGTAAGATGAGGAAGATTCCATTAGATTTTAGTGGGTTCATAGCTTTCCCAGCTGCTGAATTACCACATAATTACCTGCATATAGATAGTGTTCGTAAATGCATTTGCCAAGATTAAAAAAGGATAGTATACCCGATTGGTACGATGCCACTTGTTGCCCTGTCCGCGCCGTGCGCCCGGGTGGTCGCCGAGGACGGAGCAGCGGCGGGCAGCGCCGCCCGCGCCCAAGCCGCCGCCGCCCACCGACAGCGCCGCCGCTTCCTGCCAAGCCGCCCGCCCAGCCGCGCACTGAAATAAGCAGGAATAGATTATTTATAAATATAGATGTATGTTTGTATAAATAAACTGATATCGTTGGATATTGGGACTTTAAGAAAAGTCTGGGGTCTCTCTGTGCACTGAAGGTTCAAGAAAGTTAAACCTTTGAAGGATTTATTTATCAGTTAATATGTATTAAAATAATACCCTGAATTTCTTGGACGCCGACATTCGGATAAATGTGAAGAAATTTGTTATTTTTATGCACTGAGAAAAGGGTTTGTGGAGGATCCTCTTAGGAAGTTGTTTAATATATTGAGAAAGTAAGTTTAATAATTGAAGACGAAATCACGGAAATTGGCTATTGGATAGATTTACTGCTCGGCATTACTGAAAAAAGATATTTAAGTGCACATAGAAATATCAAGTATTGCACTTAAATCAGATAAGATTCGACATAGAAATTAAATATAAAGGTAAATTAGCTCAGAGGGAATATGTATATTTGAGCATCTTGAGGAATCATTCGTCATTTACTTAGCCCGACTGTTATTTCTAGTCTACATCAACTAAATGTTCGATATATTTATTTGGCTAATTTAGTAAGCGTGGAAAATATTAAAAGTGGGATCAATTATTAATTCAAAACGTTATTCTAATAGAAGATTATTTTCTATAAAAATCTAATTTTTAGAAAGTAAAGAAGTGTTTTAATAGATAGGTACAGTTGAAACACCTAGAGAATGAAAAGCCAGATTTTCTAATTCATTCTCAAACTATTAAGAATAATAAATTGTCACTAGAAGAAATTATCGATACTCAGAAAACTTGAGCAAACAAGTCACGATTTCGATAAACAGCCAACAAGAAGATATAGGCCAATAACCAGTAGATTTGAGGCATTAGGTGCCTATAGGCATGGCGATATTTCATGTCGTATATTAGGCTTCCGGTCCGTAGGATTTGTAGCTCTACTTCACTACAGCTAGCATAAATACTTATTGGAACTTTCGTTTTTATCTTCTAAGTAATATTACAAAAATAAGGTTAGTTATTTTTTCAAACTTTTTGTTATTATATGTTAAGAAAATGATTTATTTTATAGAATATCATATGTATAATACATGTCTGTCTTTGCAGTCAAAATTTGTAATAGTTTATTCGAAATTTATTGATATCCGATTAAGTTAAAATTTAATATACCTACCTTTCTACGTATTGCATTATGCTATCAGGAACTTGATTTAATGATAAAACTGACCATGTGACCACGGTGAGAATTTAGCTGTAACAATTATAGTAGAAAGAAGGATGGTAGGGTAGGACGGGGACAGCAACAAATCTAATGATACAGAGTTTCTAGAAAGTTAGAAGTATATTATGTACTTGTAAAATCATATTACTAAGAATTTCGTCAAAACTTATAATTTAGAAGAATTTAGTAGGGACCCAATTTCAAGTAGGTCAACTTTATGGACAAACATTTGCTTAAGCCTTAAATACTGTTAAAGGATGTACGATAACAACCCTCAATGCACTAATTTTTACTGATGCTGATTTCATTACTACAGAAGCTACTGACATTGTGTCGAATATTGAAAGGAGTTAACAAACACTATTAAATTCATCATATATATATATATATATATATATATTTCAGTTAGTGAATAGACTAGACGTTTATTTGTACAAACAGACATATAATATTATATATAAAATAACCGTAACGATCTAGAGAGCATGGTAAAAAAATCAGACATAAACAACCTCTTAAAACAGACATAAACAGAAACAGTGTGTTTCTGTAGGAGTTTCGCTGATATTATGTTGTTATTTATGCCTTTTCCGTGATTTATCCAATTTTTATGATAATTTGATTTTATTTATTAGGTACTAGCTTTCAGTGTTCGCAATGTTCGAGCATAAATATTTTTCAGAATCGATTTCTTACTGAAGAATTTGTGTTACACTTTTGTATATTATATATATAGCTCACTATATCCATGATCCTGTTTGAAAAGCTAAAGATATTACTTACTGTAAGAAGAATATGATGATGATGTTCTCCTGACCGATTTCGGTCATGGCGGCCAATCACATTGAGACTAGCCAACTGCGCAGGAGATATTATAGTGCACAAGTGTACGCGCAGACACAAGTGCACTCTCTATTCCTATCACTCTCATACTCCGGTGGGACGACTGCTCGACACGACCGACTTAACGAGAGTTAAGGCGCAGGATCGACGGCTTTACGTGCTCTCCGAGGCACGGGGGTGAATCACCGCCAACTTCCCAACTCCGGGCTGTTACTGAGGCTTACTATACAGAAAGACTCTATAACTAAACTTGGCCTGACCCGGGACTCGAACCCAGGACCTCCGGGTGTGCAGCCGTACATGCTAGCCACTACACCACCGAGGCAGTTAAGAAAAAAAAAGAAGAATATGAACATTGTATTTAAACGGTTATTGTCAATAATAATTCATTTTAAATCTGAAATCACTCTTTTTTGAAATAATAAGCCATATTTTAACAATTTTCTCGAATTACCTCACTTAAGAACTTACATATTCCATAGTGCTGCGATTTCTATCAGTACCTACCTTATAAAATTATGCAAAAATCATATTAAAACTTTATTTATTATACTTTAGTATATAAAAACCTGCTTACTTCGCTTTTAGGAATTAACTACACGACCCTACACTTCTTTCAGTCTGTACATAGCTGATACTATGTGTATGTATGTATATTGTGTAATACTTTACTGTCGATATTCTTGGATTAAGAGTATTTATTTATTAGAATTGTTAAGTGATTTTATACAGCAAAACTCACAAATTTTACTTCTATAACATTAGTCTAGAAAATGATGTTTGTTTTAGCACTCATTTGAGATCTTTTAATATGATTATTATGGCTGGATTTATGTTTCTAAAAATTCATTTGCCGGTAGCCGCACCTCATACGTCGTTTTAAATAACTAAGTATTCTAAATTCCCCTTTTCCTTCACCATGCGATGTTCATAATGTAATTAGAATACTTTATATGCTTATTTATTATAAGGCTATAAAAGCTTTCACACCGTATAATGCAAGGTTATTTCACTACGAGATAAAAGCACTAATTAGTGTTCCGTTGCAGTAAAAAAGTATATAATAAGTTTTTAAAATACTTACAAGTAGGTAAACACAGTTTGTTTTGTATGAATGGAAAAATATTTTGTGTAAATGTGAAGGCTTTATTTTGTTTTGTTGTGTTATTTAAAGTTATGCAAATTATATTTTAAACTGTATACTATTAAAATATTTTAAAACTGTTTCATTCAAATTATCCAAAATTTACATTTTTGTCTTACAGTGAGTTTGTATCGGAAACCTTAAATAATAACTGCCAACTGCCTGGTTGATCTAGTGGCTAGCATTTACGGCAACAGATCTAGAAGTCCTGGGTTTGATTTATGCCAAGTGTTATTTGGCTTTTCTGTTACGAAATAAATAAATAAATATGTTGGGACATTAACACACAACACCATCTAGTTCCATGGTAAGCTACGAGGCTTGTGTTATGGATACCAGATAGTTGATACACTACACATATATAGCTTTAAATACATACATATTATAAATATAAACACCCATGACTGAAGTACAAACATTCATGCTCATCACACAAATGAATGCCCCCAGCGGGACTCGAACCCGCGACCGCTGGCACAGAAAGTAGGGTCACTACAAACTGAGCCAAACGTGTCGTCAAATTCACAGTAATATGACGGAGTTGGAAAGTTGACGGTATTACACTGTGCATTAGAGAGCACACGAAGCCGTCGGTTTTGCTCCAGATCTCTCGCACATTGATTACATCCAAAATCCTTAATATTAACAAAAGAACACATACATTATTGATTGGTTTCAAAGGGAACAGATACTTAAAATTTCATTCTATATTTTTAGTGTATATATACCCCAAGGCAACACCCTATTTTTTCAAGAAAAAATTAACCCCTGAGTACATATGGGACATTATTATATAAAATATCATTTCCTTTTGAAAATATTTATAAATATATTTAAATTGATTTCCATCACAGTGAGTACATAACAAACCTATGTGTACACTTCAGTTCCTTTATTCATTCAAAATGTGTTGCAGTCTTTATAGCATTCGAATTGATTTAAAGTTAATGAATATTTGGTAACTATAATCGAAATATTAAATATTGAGCTACATCTTTTTCTATTAATATTAACTGTTATGGTCGTACTATAAACATTGTTTTATCTATACATATAATAAAACTGTAGAGGTGGAATGTCTGTAGGGGAGAGGTGGCATGAAAGGGACATTTTTGATATTGAGGCTTTAGAAAGTGATTGAGATAATATTTGGAACTGGTTGAAGTCGAATGGGAAGCCTCTATTATTATACTACTGAAATAAAATGCACTAATTCTCTTTTCTTTATTCTTAGTTATTTAATTCCGCATCTTAAAAAAATGTGTATTTTGTCCCTTTCAATAATAGCTTGTATTGAAAGGGACAGTACATAATATCAAGGAAAATCACTTTACACTTTGCTACACATGTTCTAAAAATAGCAAGTATTTGTACAATAACTACTTAGGTATGTTTCAGAATCAAAAAAGTGTCTGGAATTATTATTATTAATAATTAACTAATTATTACTTTTTTATATATTATTATTTTTATATATATTATTGTTTTTTTGATACTGAAACATACCTAAGTAGTTATTGTACACATAGATAGGTACTTCATATTTTTAGAAGATGTGTAGCAAAGTGTACATTTACTATTTTCATCCTACAGACCAGAATTAAACACGTATATAAAATTTAAACAGAAATCAACAATATCATAATCTTCAATTCTTAGACATAAAACAATTATTACCTATTAGATATTCATATCTTAAAATATTGTAGGCTGGCCCCGACTTCGAAAATATCTCATTAATTATAAGTATCTATTTTAAATCAAAGCCCCCGTTTAGTTATTATTTAC